TTATGAGGTGGTCAAGGGTGAAAGGAAGCCCGTCGATTTTGCTCACGAAGAAACGGAGAAATATAACGATCCTCCATAAAGAGGGGTGAATTTGGCCAAGGGTCACCTGGTATTTCTTGCGGAAGTCTACGATGACTGGATCGAGGGGACCCAGCGTGAAAGGATAAGTATAAACACTCAGGAACCCTTCCACGTGGATGGTAATCGCTTCTTCTGGTCCCGGTATCACAACCTCTTTATCTCCCCAGTTGCAATCTTTCTTCACCTGGTCAAGGAAGATTTTGGGTATCGAGCACATATATCTCGATATCGGCTCGCATCGACCAGGGACCTACGAAGGTTTCTCGACCTTAAAGTCAGAATTAATAACACATACCCCAGGAATAAGTTCTTCAGGGCGTGACTCCACCACTGGTTTCTCGCCGGCCGACCGAGATTAGGAAGCAGCCTTTTTCTGCGGAACAATTTTAGATATTTTGGCCTTTTAGTTTTTGTGGGAAAAGAAGAATGGAGACTGAAATATTCGATGTTTTAGTAAGAACAAGTAAAGAAACTCAAAAACCTCAAGATATGAAGCTTTGAAGAAGGCAAAGAACTACGGAGATTGGAATGAAAAAGATTTGAAAGTAAAAGTTTGAAATAATGAAGAAGGAGGGCTATTTATTAGTTTCACAACGACGGTCAAAACTGGTAGCGGCCGACCATCGACTAACACGCATTACATACTTGGGAAACTGTACTGATAAGATGTTTCAGTCGCTTCTGATGCTTATGTCACGATGATTATGTCATGATCGAAGGCTTAAATCGTTTCTTGTCACTACTCTCCAAAAAACAAGGGGACTATCTGTATACAGTCAAAATCGGACTTGTCCGATTTCGTATGGTTAATCGAGACCGGGGCGGCAGACCAAGGTTCGATCCCAAATTATATTGGATCATTACATGATTAGATATTGCCTAGCTCGTGATTCAGGGATCGAGATCAAGACCAGCTAAGGTCGAGACCGAGAAGGATAGAGATCTAGCGAGATCGAAAGAAGCCTGCTAAGTCAAATAACAGAAAGCTGAGGAATCCGTGATCGGGCGAGAATTGTGGCGGAGATCTCGGCATGTATCAAGATAAAACCGGTTGATTAGCCAATCAGGAGATTTCCTTTTGTATTTAGAATTGTACTATATATGAAACTCCTCTACTATATAAAGGGGGTTCCAATCATTTTGTAAAAGGGATGGACACATATCAAAGCAGTTTATAACATTTTCTTAAGCATTCTTATTCTATTGTCCAGTTCTTGCTTTTCAATAATATACTCAGTTGGTTCGAGGGCGACCTAGCTCGAGAGTCAAGGTAGCACGTTACATTGGTTTGCTTTGATTTACAGTTAATTTTTAACTTCAATTCTCATATTTCTCAATTTGTGCCACGTAAAATCACATATTTTTAAAACTATTTACAAATTTAATTGTTATCCGATTTTAAGAGCAAACAAACTTATAACTAATATGCAAAGTTGTTAAAACAAATTATGATCAATATCTTCCGCTATTACTTTTTAATTGACAATTAGCTAGTCAATCCTTGCCTTTCAAAGTAACAATTTTGTTGGAATTTGTGTTTACGGAGCCACTAAACACGTCAACTTATACAGAGGTCTCGAAAGAAGAATTCGTACAAAGCTAGTATTGTAAATAAAGTTGATTCAAGTTGGAGCGAACAAGAGGAAAGAAACGGGAAGTAAGTGTTGTTTCAATTGCCTAGCAATTAGCATTTTCATTCGTAGTTACCTCAATAAAATCATTAAATCACAATATAAAATGTGAAACTATTAATGATTTCTGACAAAAGGCAGCAAACATATAAAAAGATTTACTTATATCATTAATAATAAGCAATAATTATTTAAGTTACTCTTTCCGTTCGCTTTTACTTGTTCGAATCATTCCCTTAAGAGATAATGATGAAGTACTTATTTTATCATAATACCTACAATAATGATAGCATTTTAGAAAAATCTTATAAGGAAATGTATTGGGAATAAGTAGTTAATGATAAGGATAAAACATGAAAAAAAAAAATATTTTTTTTAATTTATTAAAATAGACAAGTAGAGTAAGAATGAAATATATATTTTCAGTATAGAAGAGAGATAAAAATAAAGTGAGAGAATATATATTACTCCATAAATAACTTTTGAAGCCTCTAAATTTTGGGGCCTACAGCTTTTGCTGTAGCGGTTTTGAGGTAAAACCGCCCCCTGGAAGCCAACTCTACTTTGAGGGACGAGCATAGTGTTCAGACATTTGGGGTTCCATAGGAAGCAAGTGCTCCACTTGATGTCTCAGTAATTTGATATTTTGGGAGTATTTGTTTGGAAGTTTGGGTTATACAACTTTTTCACTTTGCTTTAAAGCTCAAATAATCTGATATTTTTCGAGTTGCTTGTTTGCTAGTTTCAGGGAATACATCATTCATCTAATCATCATTTGGAGCTTATCATAACTGTTCATTTTGTTTGATAGTTTCATGGCACCGTTCCTCGTCTGCCGACTACCTGAATATAGGCTTTTTCGCTTTGTTCGGTAGTTTTGAGAGCATCATTCATCGTTTACCTAATACTACATGAGTATACAGCTATTTCACTTCTGGAATGTTCATGTCAACTTAAATTTACGAAATTCTGTTGCAATTGCTGCTTTTAAAAAGGACTAATCCAATTAAAAGATTAATATTCCACGCAATAACTTTTAGGTTCGAGGGAGCCGTGCTTGCACTAAGGAAGACCGTCTACATCACATCCTTAGGGTGCGATCCTTTTTCGAACCTTACGTGATCGCGGAATATGTACGGGTTCGAGCGAGTCGTGCTTGCATTAAGGTAGACCGTCTACCTCACACCCTTAGGGTGCGGCCCTTTTCCGAACCTTACGTGATCGCGGAATATCTTGTGCACCGCATTGCCCTTGCAATAACTTTTATGTGTTTGGGATATACCTGTTAATCGGGTCGGACTGACCCGTTTACAGCCCGGTTCAACCCGGTACTATAGCGTGGGGGGCGGGATGGGACGGGTTGGGCAAGGAGCGGGTTTCAAACGAACAGTTTTTTGATACCGATGCACCGGAACCCGCTAAGCCCGTTAACCCGTTAACGGGTTACAACCCGGTTCAGCCCGTTAACGGGCTACAACCCGGTTCAGTCCGTTTATTAACGTTTTTTTTTTAAATGGACCAACTGAAACTCCTGATATGACACTTGTATTTCTTATCTACACAAACATTTGGAAACATTATATAATTATTATGCTAACATTGTTGATGCTTCTTCTGCTGCAGATGCAAATATTCCTTCAAGTTCAGTTTCAACATCCGGGACCAGTTCTTTGGATGATAATGATGGTGTTGAAGATTATTTGATTTGGTCTACAATAGGGGAGCATCAAGCCATCAACAAACCAGTAGCAGGAATAACAATAAACTTCAATTCTACTTGCAAAAGTCAGCAGAGCCCTGCACAAAGGAATTTCTACCATTGGGTTGGTGGAGGAGCAACTCAAATCAATTTCCTGTTCTTTCAGCCATGGCTCGAGACGTCCTAAATGTGTCGATTTCAACAGTCGCATCAGAGAGCGCATTTAGCCAAGCTAGGCAGCAACTAGGAGATACCCGTCATTCATTGGGTAGCAACGCTTTGAAAATTGTAGTGTGCTTCAGAGATTGGATAAGATCAGAACGACGAAATCAAGGGCGTGACGAGGTAGATGAAGCGGAGGACCAAGAAATTGGAGATATAATGGTTTATGGTTCCGATTCAACCAATGCCGGAAACCAAAAACCTCATGTTGACATGGATGAACTTACAAAAATGATGCAAAGTATGTGATGTACTATTTATTTTTTTATAATTGTTGTAAACTTATAATTTGCAAGTTCAAAAATAACAAAATCAAAAAAGAACTTGCAACTTAATTTGAAGTATTATATATTATTCAATAAAAATATCAAATGAAAGTCTTCAGAGCTTGATCCTTACATATATGTCTTATTAAATAATTTTTTGTAGCCACTTACTTTCAAATTTTAATTTTAACATTATAAAATTCAAAATTCAAATTTAAAATTTTAAACTTCAAAGTTTAATTCTAAGCCTTAAAAGTTTACAAATACTTAAGTATCAATAACATTGAATAAGAAAAATAAAATTTACTTAAAAAAAATAAATAATAATCCACGGCCCGCTAACAACCCGCTAACAGCCCTCTAACAACCCGCTAACAACCTTCTAAGCCCGAACTCGGACGGACAAAAAAAACCCGAAAAAATACAGTCCGCTAATTCAGTCCGCTAACAGCCCGCAATGTTAAATAGACGGGCTAATTTTTTTTTTTGTCCAGCCCGTCCCAACCCGCCCGTTAAACACCCATTGTTTGGGATAAGTTTGAGTTGAGCGCCGAAGAAATAAATCATGCACGCGGTAGAAACGGATGTGGGATGTATTTGTAAAGATGTCGGATCAAATTTTAGCTTTAATTAATTAATTGATTCTTTAAATTCGTGAAAGTTAAGTTAAAATATTGGTAATTGTGAACCAAGGAAGTATATAGCATAACCCATGTTTAATTTCCGAATCATTTCAAATCATGCATCCGGTCCTTTTTCTTTAATTTTCTCATTATAAGAAAATAATTATTTATGATTACAGTAGGTTGATTTTATATAATTGTGTCATAATAGGATGAAGTCCCAACGAAGCTATAGATGAGGACGAAAGGAAGTTAATTATATATTGGGAAATGAAATGATGAAGTCCCAATTCAAAGTTATAGATGAGGACGAAAGGAAGTTGGCTACCATACCTAGCTGCTAACTAATGAGGATTAAGGAAAGGAAAAAGAAAATAAATTTGGAAGTTTATCTTTTGCTGCATGTCGACAAACAAAAAGCCCGAAGGTATCCGCTTATAGAATCCCACATTGTTTTTGTCCTTTTACATGTAATTTCAGGCTATTTAGCTTCCTACATTTCTCCATGCACAATATTACTACAAAAAATCCACTTGTCGGAAACAGAAAATGACCAGTACTTCAAGCAGTACTAGGACTGATAGAAAGGAGGAAGAATCTCTATACGAGACATGGATGAATCTTCAACGTGAAGAACTGACAGAGCTTGAACATGCTGTAACTCAGGCCAGAAACGGCCATATGAATGACCAGGAACTGACAAAACTCATACAAAAGATTACAAATAACTTCCAAGAATACTCAAACAACCGTAAACGCCTAGCCCAAATCGACGCGTCGCCATTCTTCGCACCCACTTCATGTACCCCATTAGAGAACTCAGTCTTATGGATCGGTGGCTGCAGACCGTCTTCTTTCATACGTTTCATCTACGCCCTCTGCGGCATCGAGATTGAGTCCCATCTCACTGAGTTCCTTCAAGGGACCAAAATAGGCGAATTCGGCGAGCTAACGGCAAAACAAATAAGCATGGTCGACGAGTTGCAAGGCAAGACGATTAAAGAAGAGAGGGAACTTTGTTCAAGATTGGCTAGCTTGCAAGAACACATAGTTGACCAGCCTGTCGCTAGCAAGCTGAAGAAAGATAATGTGGATGAGGGAAACTACTGCGAGAATGCAGATGAACTTTTAGATGAACATATCCATGAAATGGCAACTGTTGTTGAAGAAGCTGATGACTTGAGGATGAAGACATTACAGGAGATTACAAGCTTACTTACACCAGCACAGGCAGTGGAATACTTAGCAGCAGCCAAGAGGATGAGGCTTTGTTTTCAACAATGGGGCAAAAAAAGGGATCGTGAGCATACCAACAAATTAAATTCTGTCGATTAGAATAGTTTAATTTCTTGTATGTATAAAAGGTTGGATAGTTCTATACATTTGTTTTGCATATATATATATACCACACAAGAGTGGGGTGATTTGTGTGGTGTCTAATTTTTCGCGTGCACAGATTATAGAAGGACCTGGTTCTTCTATGTGTTCCTTATCCTACTGTTGCGGAATAATAAATGCAGAAATTAAAGAACACAAGGATTTTTACATGGAAAACACCTGGCTCAAAAGGTGAAAAAACCACGACCTACTTCCCAATAGAATTTTTTCAAAACTCTTCACTAAATCACTGAGCCAAAAACTGCATTTACAAAATACTTTTGTAAACCTAGGATTAACTCTAATCCCGTTGTGGCACACAGCCTCTAACTGTTGCGACAACTTCAAGTTAACTCTAACTTGAATACTGTGAGTACCTATTATAATTGCCTCTAGATAAAGGTGAAAGGTACAATATGAAAACACCTACTACAATTGAACTAGAATAAAAGACAGACACTTGGAGGTGGTTCTTCTATCTGGTTCATGTAGCTTCAGGTTCGCACACTTGAATCACACACGAACTGCTTGCAAAATGCCTTGCTATTTTGCTCTCAATTCACGTTTAACTCCTGCTTTTGTGCGTCCCCTGTAGAATGAGAACTTCCTCCGATTTATAGAGTTAGTAGAGTAGAAAGCAAATAGAGTTCTAATGCTACTCTTCCTTGGTGGAAGAGTTCTAGTTAATCTCAACTCCTAACTCCTTCCTTATCTTGGATAATGTTCTCGTTGAGTAAGGAGTCCTTCTCCTTATCAATTATGCAATCTTTTCGATCAGGAGATATTTATTATTATGCCAGATTTCGTTTATCTCCTGCATGTGCATCTCACGTACTTTGAATCTCCCTGTGTCTATGCCTATCAGTGATGGACCTGGTTCATCCCTGAGTTCCTTTGTCAATCTTCAAAACTATCCTTTACTTGAGTCAACAAATTTCCCCTTTTTGATGATGACAAACTCCGTGCTTCCATAAGCTTAGGCCCTGTTTCAACTTAGCTCAACATCAATACAATGTTAGAAACATTTTTCCTTTTTATCACTTATCATCAAGGACCAGGTTCATTAGGTTATAAACATCACTGTTCAAAGCACAACTTTTTTTCCACTTTTAGCATCATTGAAAAGTTGCATAAAATATGTTAGATAACCAGATTTTAAAACTTACTCATGGTTAGTGGGGCTACTTCAAATGCAATCATGGATTAATCATCATAGATCAAGCTAAGAATTTTAACCATCAAAGAAATATAAACAAACAGTTAGAGCAAAAATAATAAATTTCATTGACGATTGATAAGATTCTACCACAAAGTATAAGGAGAAATAAAAATACTGAAAACATGAGCAAACAAAAAATATCCCAAACTGGGTCACCGAAAGGTCTACACTGGGCTAGAAGTTTAAGGCTTGGAAGAGCTGGGGCTTGGTTTTTGGCTTGGAGAAGTTTCAGCATGTCTTGAAGAATTTCATCATTCTTCTCCTTTTCCCTTGCTAGTTCAGTTCTGAGAGCATCTCTCTCAGACTCTACCTCAACCAACCTTTTCTTCAGCCTCTCAATCTCAGCATCCTTAGCCCCACTTTCTTGCACCAAGGCTCGCACCTTACTATTCACTGGTACCTTATTAGATGAACCAGGTTCTTTAGGAGTGACATGGACTTCATAATCACAAGCAGGCAACGTATTTGCCCCAAAATGATCCTTGCTTGTACCAACCTCCCTTTCTTGTTTGGATTATAACTTTCAGTCACTCTCTTCAGTTAGTCTGCGAGGGTTTCCTGTTCAAATGAAACAGGTTCATCTATATTTTTTCCAAGTTGAACCAGCCTTTCAGCGGCTTTGCCAGACCCACTTCCCCCTGTTTTCTTTACACTCTTCTCTACTCCAGCAGATTTTTCTTCCCAAACAACCATTGCACTTGTGTCTTTGGTTAAACTCACAGGAGTGGGTGAAGAATCAACCACTCTTTTACCCTTTCCCCTCACAGCACTTCGAATACCCTTGCTCTCTTTTTCTTTTTCTTTTTTATTTGTACCCTTTCCCCTCACAGCACTTCGAACACCCTTGCTCTTTTTTTTTATACCACCAAATCCTCCAGACTCTGTAGTTTCTACACCTGCTTTAGACCCTACTAATATAAACCTATTCTCCAAATTTATTCTCTCCCCGCAACAGCCTTGCGAGCAAGTATTTTTACTCTTTTCTTAGAGGTTGGGGTGGTGGAAGGGATGATAGTGGGTGTGGAAGTCTAATCAAACTAAATTTCAGTTTTGAAAAGACTTTGGAGTGTATCCCTAGAATAATCTAGGTACTTCAATTTGGTTGCGACTCTTTTGAATATAACTGGTTCACTTGTAACGGATAAGTCCAAAAGGAGTTTGGAATAAAGTAGGACTCTGCTCATGATCAAAATATTATTATTTTAAATTATGTAGAGTGTAGAAAACATACCGTGTTATCTTGATGAACCAGGTTCTTCACTGATAATTCTTTTGTGTAAGTCTAAATTTGTCAAAATAGAGAAAATATCATTAGAGATTAATGAGTCATTTTAACACATGGCACAAGAGTATACTATTGAAAGTATGAGTCTGAGCAAAAATCAATCTAATTATATACACATTTTCAGATTTTCTAACCAAAACCAATAATTTTTTTTTTCTCAATTTTTTTTTTAATTTCTTTTTTTTTCGTTTTGAATCCTGAACTGATCCTTTTAGGTGATCTTAATCATCTATAATTCTAACTTGTTCCTTTCAAAGTGATCTCTACTTAGGGCTTTTGTGAAGATGCCAGCTATTTGCTTGTCAGTAGCACAAAATTCCACAGAGATCAACCCTTTTTTATAGTTATCCCTCAAAAAGTGATGCCTAACATCTATGTGCTTAGTTCTCTTGTGATGAACCGGGTTGTTGGTCATACTAATTGCACTAGTGTTATCATAAAAAATAGGGATACAACCAACATTAATTCCAAAGTCCATTAATTATTGTTTGATCCACAACAATTGAGCACAACATGAAGCAGCAACAACATACTCAGCTTCAGCAGTAGATAAGGCCACTGAATTTTGCTTTTTGGTGGCCCAGGACACAAGACATGAGCCATACCTGAGGTGCTCTTTCTATCCACAAGAAAACCTGTATAATCAACATCAACATATCACAAGATTAAAATTACTACTTTTTGGATACCAAAGACAAATATCAGTGGTGCCTTTTAGATATCTCAAAATTCTCTTGACAGCAGTCAAGTGAGACTCATTTGAATTTGCCTGAAATCTTGCACAAAGGCTTACACTGAAGACAATGTCAGGTCTACTAGTAGTGAGATACAACAATGAGCCAATCATTCCCCTATACAACTTCTGATCGACAGATGAACCAGGTTCATCTATATCCAACTTTGTAGCTATTGCAATATGAATGTCAATTTCTTTGGAATCTTCCATTTTAAACCTTTTAAGCAACTCTTTTATATACTTCTGCTGATGGATCATAGTTCCATTTGGAGTTTGTTTAATTTGTAAGCCTAAAAAGAAATTAAGCTCACCCATCATGCTCATTTCAAATTCACTCCCCATTAGTTTAGCAAATTCTTTACTTAACTTATCAGTAGTTGCTCCAAAGATTATATCATCAACATATATCTGAACTACCAAGAGATCTTTACCTTTTTCTTTCAAGAATAAAGTATTGTCAATTTTATCTCTCTTGTAGTCATACTCAAGCAAAAGCTTTGATAATCTTTCATACCATGTTCTTGGAGCCTGCTTGAGCCCATAAATGCTTTGTCAAGTTTGTACACATGATCAGGACTCTCCTTGCTTTCGAACCCCTGAGGTTGTTTGACAAACACTTCTTCCTTTAGATAGCCATTGAGGAAGGCACTCTTGACATCCATCTGATGGAGGGTGAATTCCATATAAGCAGAAAAGGCTATGAGGAGTCTTATTGCTTCCAACCTTGCAACTGGAGCAAAGGTTTCATCATAGTCTATGCCCTCTTCTTGGCTATATCCTTGAACCACCAATCTTGCTTTGTTCCTTGTAACAATTCCATCTTCATCAAGTTTGTTTCTGAAGACCCATTTTGTGCCAATTACTGATCTGTCCAAGGGTCTTGGAACAAGATACCAAACTTGACTCCTTTCAAATTGGTTGAGTTCATCTTGTATTGCATTTACCGGTATGCATCTTGCAAAGCCTCAACAACATTTTTAGGTTCAATAAGAGATAAAAAAGCATCAAAAGCATAAAGATTCTTTAATGAAGATTTGGTTTTGATTCCAGAGGTTGGATCAGTAATTATGTTCTCAATGGGATGAGAACTTTGATACTTGTAAGGTTTCACAACCAACTGGTTTCCCCTTGATATTCCTTCAATGCTTTATTGCTGTGGAACAGGTTCATGGACAGGTTCCCTTGAGGTTTGAGAATCATTTCCTCTTTATTCTATTCCCCCTGTCAGGTTGCCCTGGGTAGAAGGACCTGTTCTATCACTTGTTCCTTCTTCCAGTGCAGCTTCAGTCTGGGCTGTGGTTTTATTTAAGTTTCTTACCAGCCCAATTGCTTCATCATCGTGTTCCTGTCTCTCAGAAAGAATGTTAGTTTCATCAAAAATCACATGAACACTTTCTTCAACACACATAGTTCTTTTGTTATATACCTTATATGCTTTACTATGTGAAGAATATCCCAAGAATACTCCCTCATTATTTCTGGGATCAAACTTGCCTAGGGAGTCTTTACCATTGTTGTGCACAAAGCACTTACATCCAAATGCCCTAAGATGGGATATATTTAGTTTTCTCCCTTTAAGTAACTCATAGGGAGTTTTCTCAACAAGAGGTCTAGTCATGCATATATTTATGATGTAGCATGCAGTATTTACAGCTTCTGCCCAGAAGCTATGGGGCAGTTTACTAGAAAGAAGCATAGTCCTAGCCATATCTTCAAGTGCCATATTCTTTCTTTCAACTACTCCATTTTGCTGTGGAGTCCTAGGAGCAGAAAAATTATGATCTATGCCATGCTCATCACAAAATTCAGTA